GTGATGGTTTGATCGGGCTTCATTAAAAAGGCATTTCAGCATTTTTCCTTCACACATTATACAGGTGATTTACAAAGGTAAACAAAGGCATTGTCTGACAGGGAAAACATGCAAATGCTGCACACAGGACTCAAACTCCAGGCCCTAGCAGTGAGAGACCAGAAGGCTGCCCACTCTGTCTCCGTGACACATCAAGTGTGACATCAGCACAACTGGCATGAAGGTGGTTTTCGGCCATGAGAGTTCATCATTTTAAGTAGGCTAACTTTTTCAAACATATAAGGAATTGCTACAGCATGTCACATAAAAATAAAGGACAGTAAAGCAAACTATTGGTATGTTCTTATTTGTCTCAACGATGGCTCAAAGTGATGTTATCTGTGATCTTCAGAATGTTGCTATCAAAGCCATCCATACTATATAATATGTGGATTTCTTCATTATGAATTCAGCACGTTTGTAGCAGCAGGCTGCTGCTACAAACACAGAATCATGTGGCTGCTGCATCATGCAGACAGGGAGGGTCAACAAATCGTTTCTCTTTGACGGAGCTTTATAAAGAGCAGTGTGCATGACAAAAGTGACTTTGAACGTTTGGTGCCAGACACAGTGGTCCCAGCATCTCAGAAACACCCACTGGATTTTGTAAACCTTAGAGAGACAGGTGCCATTAGACAGAAATACCAGTCAGCGGCAGAACTGAGGGTGAAAACCTTGTCAATGAGAAAGATCAGAAGGGATTAGTCAGACTGTTTAAAGGTGACAGGAAGGCAATCAGTGCAAAGGTAACTGGCCAAACTGCACAAGGAAAGTTTCCGAAAGCTTGTTGAATCCATGACTCAGAAAATTCCGGCATTTCTGTAGGTATAAGAAAGTCCTGCTGAATCTGCAGCGGGGGCGAGTTGAAACACTTCTAATGCAGTATAGTTCCATCTGTATTTTCATCAGTAATATCTGTAAAAAAATAGGAAAATATAAAGCTAAAATGAGGGATTTGCAAACATGGTGCTCGCAACGAACAGTTTGCTGTATTTTGCCAATTCACAGCGACCCATCTGTGCCTCTGCACTGCTGTCCTTGTCATATGGGCTTGTTTACTACCCCAGCTAGACACAATTTCACAAGTAGTGCCAGAACCCAGAAAAGAATATGAAAGTAGACGCCATGAAGAGTGTTAGAGGGCCTGGGTGCCATGCGGGAGGGACAGCAGCCGGCTCTCCACACCTTGAAGTCACGGCAGCGGGAGACATGCAGACAGACGAGGGTGCGACTGCCGTGAAACTCACTTTCCACTTTCCCCACATTAATTAACATGTTAACGCTAATGGTGGCCAGCAGCTGCAACGGTCAGGCGTCCTCAGTGTACCCAAGAGCTGTCCTACAGTATTTCATACATCGGAGAACATATTTTCAGTGAGGCAGCAATGGTAATGTCATAATTAATTACTTTTCATTGTTAACTAGGTGTGAAAATATGCATTACCTTGGGTTTCCCATAATAAGCATTTTAATTTGGGTCAGCTAATTCTGGAACACAATATAATTTCTATTCCTTTCTGTTATGGCAAGAACTAAGAAGGCAGTTAAAATACCTTTATTTACTTGCACAACAGTCTAAAAACAGAGCAGCCCAAAGCAGACTATCCATCCACAAGGGCAGGTGATGCTGTCAACTAGGCAACTGCGAGTCAGTGACTTAGTGATTCCGAATTCAGAAGCTCTGTTGCTTTCCCAGTGACTTAGTGATTCCGAATTCAGAAG